TATACGTGGGAAGATTAACAGAGATTAAACTGCAGATTTTCGTTTGAATTTTAAATCAATTTAAAAAGCATACACTCATTTGTATTTATGTAAAAAATGGGTTTTGCTTGTTTTTAAGTACTCCTCATGTTTTCACAATAACAATAAACCAGCCAGGTGCAGTGGCTCACACCTGTAATCCAGCACTTTGGGAGACCAAAGTGCGATGATTGCTTGTGGCCAGGAGTTTGAGACCAGCCTGGACAATACCTATGCAATAGCAAGACCCCATCTCTACAAAACATAAAATTAACCAGGTGTGATGGTGCGTGCCTGCTGTGTCCCAGCTACCTGGGAGGCTGAGGCAGAAGGATCACTTAGCCCAGGAGTTGGAGGCTGCAGTGAGCTATGCTGACTCCAGGCTGGGCAACAGAGTGAGACCCTGACTCAAAAAAAAAAAAAAAAAAAAAGAAAGAAAGAAATGTAAGAGCCTCCTAGGGTAAACACCTTAATCTCACTCCAAGGGTAAAGATAAGAATTCACTTTGACTACCACAATCAGTCATCTATACATGAAGTTTCTTAAGCACAATTACGACTGCTATCACGGCGTGTTTATTTCAGCTAGTTAAGGCCCTGCAATCCTATCTCGGTGATCCTCCGGCCCTTGAGCTTCATGTACTTTTCCAAAGGCTTTAAATAATTTGAAACGTCTCCATGTGAAAGCAGCTCCACGTCTGTCCGCAGACTGTGGCTCCTGTGCTCAGTATCTGTATTTGGTGGAGTAGTCCTTGGGAGACACGACCAGGCCGCGGCCTTTGCGTGCCCCGCGGTACACAGTCTCTATGATGTCCACCATCTCCTGCTTGTCCTCCATGGCCCAGTTAATCTTGTTGTTGTTGCCGGTGCCCAAGTCAATCATGATGTGCTTGTTCCTGCAGAGAGACCAGGGCGTCAACCCCACACAAATCCCACAATTCCATGGAAAAAGCCATATTTTTCCTGTTGTTAAGACAAGAACACATACACTCAAGAGGGTACTCCATGATTTAGGTAGAAGGCAGGAAACAACCTAAATGTGATTTTTAAAAACGCAATGCATTGTCCATCAAGCTTTTCCCATATTCTTCTGCATTTCTTTAGGACAAATATCCTAAAGGGAAATTAAAAGGTCAAAGGACACAGCTTTAGTCACTTGGAAAGACAAA